CTCTTTGAATCCGTTGTTTGACTTTACAATATATGCATTGCAAGTATGCTCTAGTTTTCTTCCTACCTATGAACTCCACATAAGCTTTGGTGGTAGGAAGAGATAAGGAACAACATCATTTTATGTCTTGGTGATGATCCACAAATACCACATATATTGAGAGACTTGAAGTGTCATACAATGGAATCTCTGAGTTTTATTTTAAAAACTTACAAAAACTTCGGAACAATGTGGAACAAAGAACTTGAGACATAGTGTTTGACTTGATTGTTCTGTCTTTCAATTACTCAAGACCCAAGTGAAGGCTAAGAAGCCCATGGTTGAAAGTAATATGGGTAAGTTTGAAAGTCAGATTAGTTTATTCTAATTCAGAGAAGATTTTTTTATTGAACGTCTGTGTACTTTTAAGGAGTGAAAGCATTGTAGCAACTTCTGATCCATTACTGAGTTTGGCTTTGCTCAGGGACTAGCAAAGGTTAAGTATGGGGGAGTTTGTTGATGATAGTTAATGTTCATAAAAACCCATCAATATAACTTATATAAATATATAAAAAGGATCACCAACATAAGTCTAGGGGTTTAAACTAAAAAATCCCAAAAGTTTTAGTGAATCTGTGTTTGTAGGAGGATTTACTCAGAAAACCATTAAGGTGGACCTATATGTTAGAATTAATCACGCTTAACTGCGGCGTAAATAACTCCAGAAGGTTTTAGAGGACACCACACCGAAGAAGACCGCGAGAGGCTTCCAGGCTATAGGCCTATCGGCCTACTAGGTCCACTGGTCAGCCTCTACTTCCTATGACGGTTCTCCACCACCTTAAAGATCGCATCTACGCCGTTTATTCAAGCCGGTTTAATCCGAGGGTGTAGAATTGATGCTACATCCTATATATATAGCCCTATACCCCCCTCCCTGAAATAATCCTGAAATCCTAATTCATATCTCTCATTCAGATCAACACACATCAGGAGGATTAGGTCTAGAGCTCTCCAATGTAGTTGATTAGTAGCTCGGAAGTGAGGGTCGAATTGGGCTCATGCTCAAGTTCCGGATCTAGTCTTAGAGGCTCGACAAAGCCTTGTATCTTCACTTCTACATCTTGTAAGACTTACTATCAATTCATCATATTCTTATCTACATGGCTATACTTACTTTGAATATATATCTTGCTTAGTTGAGGTTATCATTACTTTTATGTGCGGGTTCATAGAGCGCTTAGTCTGCTATAGTTTATCGATTGGGCTAAGTAGCCGAGCCTCGTGTAAGCATGGTGCTTATACGATGCTCTGCCTATGAGTACACCCTGTTCTCTGGTTGTGTGGTAGCAGTTGGTGGTGACAGTCCAGTCTATCCTTTGTAGTCCACGCCGAATTGAACATGTTCTTAAATTGTAGGACCGTAGTCGCGTTAGTAGAGTTATCTATTGTGGATGCTCTACCGTCTAAGTGGCGTCCCGAAGTGCACAAGAGTAGAGTTAGTTTTAGTTATAGTTGGATATATATATATATATATATATATATACTTTGACCATGTAATAAGAATGTCACAGGAATCTACCTCACCCGTTGTTCTCCCGAGTTGACTAGTTTATATTATCCTATAGATTTACCCCCTGAGTGTCATTAAGCATTACTCCTATCATTACATTTATCCTCTGCTCTAGCTACGTTGGTATGTTAACAGATACTCCTTTGTTACCCAATAAATCTTTACTCCATTATTTCCCTGTGGTAAAATATAAATAACGATACATGTAATACTCCCGGTAAAATGCTACAATGGTATTCTGTACGCTTGCGGAATCCTTTATATCCTATTTGCGTTAATAAATACCAACAACCTTTCAATTAAACTGATACATAATGTCATAAAAAGAAGATTAGTATACCTTATGTAATAGATTGAACACCGTAGTATTAGCGGTTTCACTTGGATCCGCTGCTAGATTCAGTCTAGGTGGCATAATGTCCTGAAAAATAAAGGCATCAACATTGTAGTTACCATACAAAAAAATCTTGTTCGAAAGAAAGATTAAACCTCATGTACCTCTAGTATGCTTGGGTCGTCATATTCTTCCAATTCTTCTTCTGGATTAGGCATGTTTCTCTGATCCGCATATTTTTGGCAAGTTCTCTTGTTGTGTGTAGCTGACCCACAAGCACGGTAGTGCATTCTCACTCCATGTGTTGCTAAGTTTGATGCCACCTTCTAATTCTATTGGATTTTTCTTTCTATTCTTTGCAGGTCTCCCTACCTTCTTGTCATATATAGGTGGCTGGACATCAACCCCATTCATTTTCTCCCAGTGTATTTTGTCTCTCACAGGCCATATGTTATAACCATATGACTGCATATATGTTTCAATCGAATAGCATTCATGCACCATTGTTTCTGGACTAATTTCATCATGCCTAAAATATGCAATGGCATGGCAGCATGGTGTCCCCGTTAGCCGCCACCACCTACAATCACATGACCTCACATTTATGTCCACTATGTTGGACCCATATTTGTCATTGACCGAAAAAATCCCTCCTACAGGATATATCATACAAGATGCTGCAACATCTATATGCCTATCAAGCTTCGTCTTCACCTTGGGATATATAGTGCCTGTCCACTTATCTCTAGCTTCCTGCTGCTTTGTATAGATCCTATTCATGATTTGGCACCTTATTTTCTCAAGCATTGAGAGTACAACCATCTCCCTAGCATCTAATATATACCTAATGGGATATGGAAAAGATGTCACTGCAAGTAATGAGGGAAAAAAGGCACAACGCGTAATGACATATGATTTTGAGGTAACTTACTTGTTAAAAACCTCGAAGTTGTTGTTCAATAGCAAGTCACATTTTGAAAATTTACTGAAGAACGCCCTTACCCATGTATTGGGTGCTAGTTGTTCAACCCAAGCAAAGGCTTCTGGACTATCCTTCTTCGTTTGCTCCATGTTCTTCTCCAAGGGACATTGCTAGATGTAGCTATTGCCCATAGATCATTCTTCAATGTTTCCCCCTTGTGAACTGAGTGGAAGTTTTGATACAAGTGCCTTACACAAAACCTATGTTTGGCATCTAGGAAAATTAACTTCACAACATTTATCAGTCCCTGTTGATGCACACAAAAAATAAATGAGACAACCATCAAATAAAAAATAGAGGAGTCGTGAGAAAGTCTTGTGATGTACCTTCGGTTTGTCACTCATAATGGTATAAGGACCTGTACTGATGATGATATTTAGGTCATTCTATAGAGTTGCCAAGAACCACTTCCACGTGCTAGTTGATTCCACCTCAACTACACCCATTGCAATAGGATATATGCATTCGTTTGGATCAATCCCCACTGCAGCTAATAGTTGGCCGCCATGCTTTGTTTTAATATGGCATCTATCAGGCCTGCATCCTTTGAGAAAACCTCTCTTACATGCATCTAGTAAGTAGTATAGTGTACTAAAATGCTCCATGACCATTCCTGTCTTAGGATGCTGCAGTGCCTTCAATGTGAGGAAGAATGTACTACCGGGATTTGTTTTTCTTAGCTCTTGACCATAGTCCCAAAGTTGATTATATTGCTTTTCTTCATCACCATGAATAATCCGCAAAGCTTCCTTTCTTGCCCTCCCTAACTTGTGCCTAGATGGGATCATGTTGTACTCTTTTGTACTGTAGCTGCAAAAACCTTTAGGCTCATTTTCTCATCATCCCTAAACATTTTAATGTATTTCCTTGACCAAAAAAGATCGGTTAAAGCCTTGATTTTCCAAATTTTGTTGCAAGTGTGGGTGTCAACATACTCTTTGATGAGCATGCTCTTGCTCCTGCTGTCAACAACAGCCTTAAGCTTCCATTGACAATCACCATTGCAGTATACTTCTAGTCTGTCTTTCTCATTTCTCTTTTTCCAGATTTGTCTCCTTTCCCTAATGTTGTATGCATCAATTGCCTTCCTTAACTCCTCCACATTTGCAAACACGGTGCCCAACTTAAAAATAGGTGCTATCATGTCAACATCTGCCCTGAAAGTTCTAAATTAAAATTCACTGTTTCTGCATTAGTATCTGTTGTAGGCAAATTGAGATGTGTACTCCCCACAACATATTCGCCATTGTCTTCCTCTAACTCTTCTTGAATGCACAAGTCCTTCCCTTTAGTGTTAGCCTCTTCATTAATTAACATGCCATCCACATTTTGAGCAAATAAGTCATCGTCATCAATGTCAAACTCGTAGTCATTGTCAACAAAATCAGAATCGACATCAGAATCTGCACCCAATTCCCTCTCACCGCCATCTTCTATCTCAATGCCTTCTTGGTAACTTGTGCTTGTCCCCTCAACAAAAGTAGACTTCCTCTCTTGGCTACTAGTGGTTACATGAGCAACTTGTGCAATATACCTATTCTACCTATCAAGAAAAGATTTCTGTCTTTCAAGAAAATTTGAATGGTCGATGTACATCAAGATGTTCTTGCAAGTAGTACTCTCATTTTATCATTGCAATGATATCAGCATCACACCTCAAAGTTCTCAGTCCATCAGCCACTGTCTTTTTCTGGCTCACACCAATAACTCTTGCAAATGCAACATTCCTGCATTTCAGATTCTCCAAAAATTCCTAGACATACAAGAGGGACCAAGTATCACTGTTGCAAAAATCAAACCAATCTATCTTGTTGTCCATATATGTCCTTTTTGTTGCCAAGTCTTGTGTTAAAAGGCATATGACGAAATCAGTGATTTTGCTGTGGTATAGGGAGAGAATTGCCCATTTCTGGATTAAGCAAAAAAGTTCATGGAGAGTTCCTTTATGATACATAAATTTGAGTCACTATAAGTGAAACTAAACACAAACAACCACAGAAAAATATGAGCGTATGATCACATCTCTTCTTTATTATTGTGGGCACAATATAGAGCACATGCATGCATGTCGACATCGTATCCGGAGCTATGTATATGTAGGCAGCAAGAGCAAGATAGGCTTGCTGCATGGATCACGGGCCTGCATATAGGCGAGCTTGGAGCTTGGGCTCAGCGAGGGCCTCGAGCGGGACCAAGCGCGGCACGGTGAGCCCGAATGTTTCCTCCATGCTCAGCTCCTCGGCCGCCACACCGTCGGGGAGCCTCCACGCGAAGGCGTGCAGCAGGTTGGCCAAGATCATAGGTACCATCCTGAGGGCGAGGCCCATGCCAGGGCACATCCGGCGGCCGGACCCGAACGGCAGCAGCTCGAAGTGATGCCCCTTCACGTCCACTCTGTTCCCGACGAAGCGCTCCGGCCGGAACTCCATGGGAGCTTCCCACACCGCCGGGTCGCGGCCGATGGCCCAGGCGTTGATGAAGACGTGCGTGCCTGCCGGGATGTCGTAGCTGCCCACGGACACGTCCTCCCGAGCCAGCCGCGGAGTCAGGAGTGGCCCGACTGGGTGCAGGCGCATGGTCTCCTTCACGATGGCCTCCATGTATGGGAGGTTTGGAATGTCCCCCTCTGCCACAAGACGGTCCCGGCCAATGACACGGTCTAGCTCCTCAGTGGCCTTGGCAAGGACCTCTGGATTCCTTAGGAGCTCTGACATGGCCCACTCTACAGTGACCGAAGTGGTATCGGTGCCGCCGGCCATCAAGTCCTGGGTGCAGAACCACTCATTAGTCTAGTTTTGTGCTCAGCCAAAGTTAATTTTAACCAAATATGTTAACATTTACTCATTATGCTGTCCAAATTATAAGATATTTTACTTTTAGTATGTGTAGTATACCTAAATACATAAAAAAAAGTTATGTATCTAGAAAAATCAAAATGTCATATACTTTTGAATAGAGGGAGTTACATAATTTACTACCACGTCAAAATATACTTCATCATTTCATGGTGTATTAATAATCGATACCATAGATATTTACATTTTTTAATAAACTTGACTAAACCTAAATAAGTTTAACTTACAATAAAACTAAAACAACCTACAATTTAGAATGGGTGGACTTGGGTGCATTTGGTAGAGCTGTGGCTCTAGCAAAACTGTTCTGGCTCCAGTTAGTCTAGCGGAACCGCTTTTGCTCAGGACAGCTCATGTAAAAGAATTGTTCATAGTATTCTTTTTTTTCTCTTTCTCTTTTCTTCCATTATTTTCCCTCTCTCCTATTTCTCCCTTCTTCCCCTTCTCTCCCTTAACAGCTCACATTGCCTCCCTCTGACTTACCTCGCCCGCCCTACATCCATTCCACCTCGGCGCCTCTGTCTGCCCCGCGCCTCGCCCGCGTGAAGGTGGCTATTTTGGGTAGGGTCGCACATCCAGATAGAGGAGTCGGATGAAGCCACTTTTTTTTTTTTTTTTTGCTCCAGGGTAAGCTCCATGCTCCAAATAGTACGAATTGTGGCGAAGCGGCAGCACCGGGTGGCGCTACCAAACGCCGCCAATAACAAATCATCCGATGCCTAAAAAACAATTATGCATGATGTGGATTAGTAACGCTTACTAGAGTGAACGCCTTCACATTATCCCGCTTGATTGGAACCTCGAGGTTGGGGTCGTCAGCGAGCTCCAAAAGAACGTCCATCATGTCCATGGCAACGAAATCCTTGCCTTCTCGCCGCCGTCGCTGGTTGTGCTCATCCAGCACGTGCTCCAGGAACCGGTCCAACATCTTGGCCAACCTCTTCATCCTCTTGATGTACCCCTGCGGGTCCAGGCAGCTGAGCCACGGGATCATGTCCGCGATGTTGAGCACGCCGTTGAGAAAGAAATGCTCGTCGATCAACCACCTGAACTCCTCAGGTGTCGCCGGCGAGCCAGATCCGTCGACGATGTACTTCTTGCCTAGCAATATGCGCGAGATGACGTTGAGGTTCACCATGTAGAGGTGCTCCTTGAGCGCCACCACGTGGCCACCAGAAGAACCGGCCACCGCCGACGGCGACGACGCCGCGGCGTGCAGATCTCTCAGCATGGCGCGCACCTCCTCGCTGCGGACGTGCTCGAGCGACATGAGCCGCCTCGCATTGAAGAGCTCGGTCTGGCAGAGCCTGCGCCCCTGACGCCAGTACGCGCCGTAGGGCTGGTAGAACAGGCTACCACAGTTGTAGGAAGTGTACTTGCCGGCCGCCGTCTGAGGACGGTCGATGAACGCCAGGTCGTGGGTCTTGAGGAAGAACCTAGCCATGTCGACCGACGACCCGACGACGACGGTGAAGGAGCCGAGCTGCAGGGACATCAGCGGGCCATACCTCTTGGAGAGCTCGTGGATGGAGTGGTGAGGCAGCGAGCCGATCAGGTTCAGGTTGCCGATCACCGGCCATGGCCGGGGGCCCGGTGGGAGCCTGTACTTGCGCGTGGAGCGCGGGCGGAGCCGGAGAATGGTTACGACGAAGAGAGCGGCGCCAGCCACTACGACGGCGAGGAAGGACGCCCACGACGGTGCTAGCTCCATGGGGACTTAGGACGTAGGGGTCAGCCTTTTTTTTTTTCTTCACCCGGCCCTCTGGACTCTGGAGCCAACAGCCAGGTGATTATTGGCGATGGGCATGTGTGAGCTATATATGGATCTATCAGAGATTCAGAGCAGTGCTATCGCTGTTAATCCTTGTAGGTATCTGTGCACGTCCATCTTAATCTACAGCTATCGAGGTGGATTGGAGAAATACACAACCAAACAAGATCTACCGTGAAGCAACTGCAGCTGGCCGACAAGATGGTATATTAGTCAAGGACTACACACAATCAATCAAGGACAAATTATCACGAAGAAACATGAAACACGAGCACATGCATGCATTGCGCATGCCTTATGTGCAGAGATGGAGACAGGCAGACAGTAAAACAGAGACGGATGCATCACGAGGGACCCTCGCATAGAGGTGTGCCGGCAGCTTTGTCTCGGCGACAGCCTCCATCGAGAGGGATGTGTGCGCTGTGCGGAACAGCCAGTCCAAATTTTCATGCGCCTCCACGCGAAGGTGGGTTAGGGTCACACATGCATCATCTTCAGCACGTTTTTTTAAACATCTCATGTGAGATCTGTTCATGCACATACACACACCCACGCTACGCACATACACCACACACCACATGCACTACTAGACTTACAACTATACATAGCACATCGTCTTTTTTGAGATCATCAGGATCATCTATGGCTCCGTAGACGACCGACACGTCGCAATCCTTTTATGACTCTACGCGAGCGAGGCTGCAGACACATATTATAGGGGAAAACCCGCTTCGAGCAGGGCTCGAACGCGCGTCGGTGGCCTCAAATTATCACGAAGGAACATGAAACATGAGCACATGCATGCATCGCGCATGCCTTGTGTGCAGAGATGGAGACAGGCAGACAACAAAACAGAGACGGATGCATCATGAGGGGCCCTCGCGTAGAGGTGTGCCGGCAGCTTTGTCTCGGCGACGGCCTCCATCGAGAGGGATGTGTGCGCTGTGCGGAACAGCCAGTCCAAATTTTCCTGCGCCTCCACGCGAAGGTGGGCTAGGGTCCACGTACACACACCCACGCTACGCACGTACACCACACACCACACGCACTACTAGACTTACAACTACACACAGCACAACGTCTTTTTTGAGATCATCAGGATCATCTATGGCTCCGTAGACGACGGGCACGTCGCAAACCTTTTATGACTCTACGCGAGCGAGGCTGCAGACACATATTATAGGGGAAAACCCGCTTCGAGCAGGGCTCGAACGCACGTCGGTGGCCTCAAATTATCACGAAGGAACATGAAACACGAGCACATGCATGCATCGCGCATGCCTTGTGTGCAGAGATGGAGACAGGCAGATAGCAAAACAGAGACGAATGCATCATGAGGGACCCTCGCGTAGAGGTGTGCCGGCAGCTTTGTCTCGGCGACGGCCTCCATCGAGAGGGATGTGTGCGCTGTGCGGAACAGCCAGTCCAAATTTTCCCGCGCCTCCACGCGAAGGTGGGCTAGGGTCACACATGCATCATCTTCGGCACGTTTTTTTAAACATCTCATGTGAGATATGTTCATGCACGTACACACACCTATGCTACGCACGTACACCACACACCACACACCACACGCACTACTAGACTTACAACTACACACAGTATAGTGTCGAGGCTGCAGACACATTATAGGAGAAAACCCGCTTTGAGCCGGGCTTGAACGCGCGTCGATCTCCGCACCGGGAGCGCTCACCAACCGAGCTACGGCTATGTCCCCATCTTCAGCACGTTTCTAGGCACGAGAATGCATCGGGTTGACCTTAGAGCCGTAAAAAAAAAAGCTATCGTTTGGCCGTGTGATTTGTTCCTCTCCGTCACAGGTTTTTTTGGCCATCAGATCTGACCCAGGAGCTATCTGCGCCGTTCTTCATGTGCAGCATCCATGCGTCCCGTGTCGTGTTTCGACGCCTACCGTTCACTGGACTTTTTCTTTCTTCCAGGCTGGCTCTAGTCTAGTCTACGTTGTTTGTTCTCCTGCGGTGGTGTTCGGTTGATGGGATAGAGTGGGAGGGAAAGGGATATCATAACCTATTGACCTTATAATCCATGTTTGGTTTTCTGGATAGGGATATTCAGTGGGTTTGGATTTAGGCAACTAGAGCCTGCTATCCCACCAAAGCTATCCCGACGGGGAGGGTGGGTTAGCAACGGGAAACATCACATGTGTCGTCTTCCTTCGTTGGCAGTCGGAGGAGGCCCCGTCGCCGGCGTCGGCACCACCGCCTGCGGCATCCGACTCCACCCGCCACCGAGGAGTGTGTGGTGCCAGTTAGGCGCAAGGCTGGAGGCTGAGGAGTGCCCCTTTTGCGGTCGCTGCGAGGGGGCCCAAGCGCGAGAGCCTCGCCGCCTGACGCGCAGAGCAGCAGCCGCTGCCGCCGCCACGGAGAGGGACGCCGTGGCGCTGTCGATCTGCTCGCCGGAGGTCGATTGGGGGTGCTGGTGGCTGATTCGCAGCTGCCTGGATGTGCGCCGTCGACCCCGACCCGGCCGCCCGCGAGAAGCTGTGGCCGGAGAGGCACTGCAGGCTGCCGCCGTGGGTCGAAGCCTCCTGGGTCCTGTCATGGCCGGATAGGCTAGGAGATTGAGCCGCCGCTGGGCTCGCTGAGTCGCTGTGCAGGCCACTGGAGGCAAATGCTCGACTCGGACGTCACCGTTGCCAGGATGTAGGAGCAGTCGCTCCCCTTCCGTGCGGCCAACAGGAGCCACCGCTGGAGCTGTCCGCTCACGCTCTGCTCCTCCGCCCACGCTCAGCCACACAAGCAAGCAGGAAGATAAGGGAAGAGAATGTGCGCTGCTCTGTTTTTTTTTTTCTGTTGTAACTGACATATCCCAAACCAACTATGCAAACATGGGAATGGAATAAAAACTCTATAACCCTAACCCAAACCTACCACATCATAATCCATCTCATTTCCTCAATCCAAACCCAGTAGCTATCCAAATGCTACCTTCAGGAATACTACTACTCTACCAGCATCTGAACTGACAACCTGCAACGCACTTTTCTCCTGCAGGTGGGTGGCCTCGCCGGACGGCGGACGATCCTCCCGGTGCTACCACCTCGGCCGGCGGACCATCCTCAAATTGCTTGTTACATTAGAGTTCAATTGCACTTAGAGTTTTTGATCAGGTGTAATTCATAGGTATAATTGTTGTAACTAGTATTTTTTGTAAAAAAATTAGCGAGCCTTGGCAAGTATTTTTATTGTACTGTCTTTGCTATGTTGTAATTTTTTGTTTTTTTGGTATGTTTTTCTGCATCAATCCCCTAAAAAATATTTGTGATTTTGCAATTCATAGAAATTTTCTGCTTTTTTTATTTTGTAGTTTGCTTCTATTTGATTTGTTTGGCCATCTAATGGCCTCAGAAAGTTTTTGGTTTTTGCATTCCTTAGATTTTTTTTCTATAATTTCTTCATTTTCTTTGATTTGTTTGTTCATCTAATGGCCTCAGAAAGTTTTTGATTTTTGCATTCCATAGAATTTTTTTTGTTTTCTGTAATTTGTTCATTTTCTTTGCTTTTCTTGGTTCTTGCAAATGCCTGATAATTTTGTTTTTAGTTATCTGTGATACTGCTGTACTCGTAAATATTGGCTTCCTGGTTGTAGGTAACTTTGGTTTTAATATCTTATTACTTTGGATTAATTTTGTAGTTACAGTAGAGTTCAATTGCATTTACAGTTGTTGATCAGGTGTAACTCATTGGTATCATTTATGTTACTAGCTTTGTTTAAAAACAAGCTAGATTTGGCAAGTATTTTTAAATGAACTATCTTTGCTATGCTTTTTTTGGGAATGTTATTCTGCAACAATGGCCTCAAGAATATTTGTTTTTTTTTGCAATTCATAGGAATTTTTAGCTTTTAGTTATTGTTTTTTTGCTTCTATTTGATTTGTTTGGTTCATCTAATGGCCTCAGAAAGTTTTTGTTTTTTGCATTCCATATACAATTTTTTATTTCTGTATTTTTTTCATTATATTTGTTTTTCTTGGTTCTTACAATGGCCTGAGAATTTTGTTTTTTAGTTATTTTTGTTTGTTTTGTTTTTTATGATTGTTTTGGTGACCATTAGGCTCCAACTAGAAACTGTGGCGCGGACGTTGCCGCGCCAACCTAAGATGACCTGTGCCTAAGATGACCTGTGTATTTTGATTGTTATGTGCTTTGATGATAGGATTAAATGGTATAGAAGCAGAATGATGGTGAACTGCTCCTCACAGCAATGGGCTGCTTCCCTAGTGTTTATGAAATAAACAGTTATTTCCACCTTATGCATATCTATGGATATTTTGCAACTGGAGCATATGACTATCAATGTCGTCTGTTTCGTCCATGTCTTTGGTGTTCGAATTTTTGTCATTGAAATCTTATAGGTATGTATCATCTAAAATTGGAAGTTAATGTCGTCTGTTTCGTCCATGTCTTTGGTGTTCGAATTTTTGTCATTGAAATCTTATAGGTATGTATCACCTACAATTGGAAGTTGAAGCTTTGATGAATACACTGCCGCGCCATCCTTGGAGTTCACCGGTGTAGTTTTTTTTATACCATTATTATTGCAAAAGGTTGAGCTACGAGATTGCCCATCAGTAATATATGGAGTCACGGGTGATGTTTACAGCAATAGCACAATCAGGAGTTAAAATATTTCCTCAACTTGATCCAAGTGTGTCGTACCTAAACTTGCATGCACATATATACGTTGATATGTAGCAATCTCATCATATAAAAAATTTGAGGTGGTCATATAAATGTGCCAAGTAGCAAATCTATCTATGGGATACAATTCAATATAGCAATGCATCAATACTTTTAAGTGCTAATGTCCATATAAAAGTTTTGTAACTTCATAGTTTTACAGGAGAACAATATTTTCTGAAACTAAGCATATCTCACAGATATTGTCATAAAAGCTGAGTCCATGCATAAGTATGCATCGCTAAGTTTGTTTCAGTGACCCAGTACAAAAATGTCTTGTATAACCTTTAATGAATGATGAGATCCATAGTATGCAGTAGCCTGGAAAGAGGGAAAACAAAAACAAAATGATACTATTTAAATGTACACTGATGAAAGGATAATTATGAATTGGAGAAAATATTTGTGCTCTGCCCAGGAATTTAATTTAAGTGGCTGAATAATGATTATAAATGCAATTTAGAAACCAAAATGATTAAAGAAATAGAGTAAGCTCGTGTGTGCTCCTTTGCTTTGACACATTTCTGCTTTACAAAGAGAACATGCTTTCTCCCCCATCTATCTGACAAAGGTGGCTCTGGAATTTTTATTTATCTTAATACTAGACACTTATTAAAGGAACATAGATAAGGACAAAACTCTCCTCAAATATCAAACTCTAGTATCAATGGCAAGTCGTTACTATGAAAAAAAATCTTTGATAAACACATGCTTTCTCCCCCATCTATCTGACAAAGGTGGCTCTGGAATTTTTATTTATCTTAATACTAGACACTTATTAAAGGAACATAGATAAGGACAAAACTCTCCTCAAATATCAAACTCTAGTATCAAAGATAATAAAGAGGAGTTTACTAAACACCATTAGTTAATCTTTCACATTCATACATAACTACTCAGCTTGGGGAAAAGAACTGAATTTGACATATAAAAAAAAGAACCATGCGGATTGAGATTGAAAAAACCACTGTCTTGTTCCAGCAGTATAAAGTCGTTACTATGAAAAAATATTTGATAAACACATTTATCATCAAAGATAATAAAGAGGAGTTTACTTAACACCATTAGTTAATCTTTCACATTCATACATAACTACTCAGCTTGGGGAAAAGAACTGAATTTGACATATAAAAAAAGAACCATGTGCATTGAGATTGAAACAACTACTGTCTTGTCGCAGCAGTATACCTGATTGTGAACGGCTGCCAATTCCTGTTGTAACTGAACCACTTGTACCAAATCGCTAAATTCTAAAAAAGACGTACCCACTTAAATAATCATTGTAGATACCTGCAAGTCATCACACATCGGAAGAACAAAAGTAGCACTACTAATCTGTGATGTGTAAGAATCCTGAATGAAGGAGTAGTTGGATGGTTTTGCTAAACATACTGAAATGCCATGCTCTAATATCTGAAAAGTGCCATTCTATAAATTTTTAATTATTAGAAAAGCGACAAAGACAAGACATTCCAGTTTTATGAATGAGATAAAAAATGAAGTAAGCCACTGCACATCTTCGAACTTCTACCAGTAATATGAATTTTAAATTGCCATATATGTACATGTATAGTTAGTACACATGGGATACAACTATTTCAGTAAATATTAGCACTTATCCATGCATTCTGATTATTATCTCGATCGATGCAATCCTGCATGATAGAAAGACAACATAATGTTCATGTCTAAGCTCATGGATTGCTGATCAAATACTATCGTAAACACCGATTATTCAGTGGCTCAATGCACACCTACCTTGGAGGAATTTCCTCGAGCAGCAGGTGGGAATCGTCCATGGACACCACTCGTCGGCCGAGCGGTTGGACCCCACTCGATCGGCCGAGGAGCTGGCGGTGTTTCACGGGCGTAGGAGCTCAGATATGGGCACAACGGAGATGCAAAGCACTAAAACCACTTACATTGCACGCCGTGACGCGGACTCTTCCATGAGCAAGGCAACATCTGTGCAAAAAAGTAAAATTCTAAAAAAGGATGCAGGTACCAGAGCAAGATATCTAGAAAGCTCCCCTCCTCTAAACTCCCACTTCCCTTTCTAATTGGTGCTAAACAAGCCAAGAGAAAGGAACATAGAGAGGTCCTCACCGAGCATCGACTTTGAAATATCATAGCCAATCCAGTGGTGGCCATGCTCCATCAATGTCTCACCACTAAGCCCAGAACCACATCCTGGAAATTACAGCACACAAAGTCATCGTAGGTAAGCATATCTTCAAACATAGATGTCTTTCAACTGCCATAACCGATTGCAATAAAGAGCTCCCACAGCATGTATTTTTGTCCCCGTCAAAGGAGAATACTTTCTGTTGTTCTAGCCAACGCGATATGCCATGATTCATGAAGCAGAGCTGCAGAAGAGAGTAAGCTGACCTATGTCGAGAAGCAGCTTGGGGACGCCGTCGTTGGGAAGAGCGAGCAGCTCTAGCGCCCTCTCGGAAATCGCCGCCGCGCCCGCGCCACGCCTGCGCCGGGGTCGCCGGTGCCGCTGGGGCCCCACCGGCGTCGGGATGGCCGGGAACCCCACGCAGAGCCGCATCCCGCCACAGGGGGGCGGCCGCCCGCCCCGGCCGGGAGGAGCGAGTGCGGGCGGCGAGTGTGTGGTCGGCAGCGGATGCTGCGCGCTGACCTCGGGCGACTCTCCTCTACACGACGGGCAACCTCGGGAATATTCGCTACTTTACGGGTCGACGCCCGAACCGACCCGCAATCGGATGGACCAGATCACCTGATCGCTTGATCCAACGGCTAGCGGGTTATCGGATGACGTGGCACTGTCGGGTGCCCGCTTTTGGAAGCCGGATTCCTATATAGAGATTAACGGTGGTTCTTTGATGTTACACGGTGGTGTTGGATAATCAGAGTGAAATTATAGTTAGTTTCACTCATTTTTTTTCACAGTTTTATTCGTGTGTTTTGTGCTGTTTGATTACTCGTGTGACCATTATGCTTGAATCACACGAATTTTGTTATTTGTCTCAATTGTGTAATTTGTCTCCTCAAATTGCTTGAGTGTTTAAATGGGTCAGATCACTCAAGTTCCAAATAGACAGATAAAAAAAAAGGCACAAAATGAGGCTCTACTTTAGGAAAACACAAATAACCAAAGTATAGAACGACATGTTTCTTTTGTAATATCAAGAAATACAACAAGCCGTCATATAAAAGGAGCCTCCAAAGGACTTTTGACAAGATCATCATATATTTCCCGTGGAATATTTAAAAAGAGAGGAGCGGAAGGACCTTCACAAGAAAAGTTTGCAGCCAAGACAAATAGCGCTCTTATGTGAAGAAGATATTCATCAATTTCAATTAGCGATGGTTTTTGCGGCTGATAAGCCTGCTGATGCTGTTTTGTTGTGAGAGAAAAACATTGTACCATGGTTGATAAGTTCAAGCGAACAGGGCGAAGTTAATGGTTTTCTAGCGGGTGTTTTTCCTTTATTTGTTTTTTAGTCGGTCTTTTTCTGGTTCTTTATTTTTTTCAGGGTCCACCTGAGCTCCCGTAACCGCCCTCCTTGTTGCTAATCAAGTTGCAGGTAGTTGTAGTTGTGAGGTGCCGGGAGGGGTTGTGAGTAGGCGAGGCTTGTAAATACCTTGTTTTTCCTTTTTTCGTCTAATATATTCCGTGGTAAAACTTTTACCGTCCTTTCTAAAAAAAAGTTGTCTCCAAAACTTTTGCAAAACTGTTCCGATCCAAGAGCACCCGAAGCTTCTGGTAATGACACCAGAGTGATCAACCGAGTTTTATTCCAGAGAAGATGTTTTCTGTGCGCGCATGGAGATAGAGCTCACCGGAACCCTCCGATGGCCACCAAAGAAGAGGCACTGGAGCTTCGATCACTAACATGGCTAGTTTCTGACATGAGTCATGGTCGTGGGGAGAGCTCTAGTGGTAAGCTCCGATGAGGCCACTAGACACTACACCAGAACACACAATCACTGCCAGAGCATCACTACCAGATGTGCTGGAGCCGGCAGTGACTACTGATCGCTGTCAAGTGGTAAGGCGAGGATTCAGAAAATTGGTGGGAAGCTAATCACCTGACAGTGATGGCGTCTATCACTACCGGCTAAAACCACCACCCGACAGTGATATATTTCTGCCGAGTCAAGCCACTACCTGGCATTGACATTTGCATATTATTGTTGGTTATCATTCTGACCCGCCAGTATTCTTTCTGGTCATTGGATCTATATAACTATCGCATAATTGATTCTCCACCGTTGATCATGCCTATCACCATTTGAACCCACCAACCACCGTTGCTTCTTGTTATAAAACGTCTAACACCCTTGTCGTCCAATTCAGTATATGCAACAGACCAACTTATTTTTACTATCTATATGTGCTCTCTATGGGAGAAAGCTCTCCACATACACCTTTTGGTAGTCTGTAGTCAACATGAGGCCCTAAAAATACTGGAAGAATGTTTGTGAAGTTAGACCGACGTCGAAGCCAGAGTGCGATTGTTCATTTATGTCACGGCAATAGCGCATTTGTTGATTTAGGCCACAAGCAAAGTAGGCGGTGCATTTGTTCATTTATGTCACGGCAAATTGTGCTCTGGCGGTTGGTGCTGTGGCGAGGATGAGGTGGAGTGTGGATAGTGCTGGTTTGAAGGGGGAGAGTGATTGGGCCAGGTGTGATCGCCCCGGATTCTTTGTTGGGAGGTGGGGACGCTGGGCAGCGAGGCCGGTGCAGCCGTGTTGGGGCCAGGGGAGGGATACGATCGTACGATGCAGAGGCACGTGTTTTTTTTCTTCTTCTTCTTCTTCTTCTTTTTCTATTTCCTTTGGCCGGTGAGAACTGGAAAATTGGGAAGGAAAATTCATGTCCACAAAGAGTGCTCTTGACTGAACTCAAGGCTCTGGGAGGAGGACGAGATAATGATAATTTTTTCTCGATCACGCAAAAGGTTTGCGCGTCTCTATATTAAGATAGAGAAAAAGTTTAATGTAATACGCTTTAACGACGGCCTAAGGAGCTAGAAAAGTTGTACATGGATGCTCAGATCCTACATAGTGTACTAAAAGCTATGCTATTACATTAGACACTAATTAACCCAAATTGCGACGCCGACTAGGAGGCTATGCTTGGGCTGCCGAGCGGTGGCGGCTGCTTGCATGTTCACCCGATTAGGCTGAGAATCACCTATATGCAGAAAGAAGCAAGTATGGCCAATGCCTTTATTCACTTTATGTGACGGCAACAATGGTAGCAATGGTAGAACCAACTAGATTCATTCACGATGGCTATCATACTTACAAGCAGCCAATGCCAATCATTATGGACATATATTACACCACCAAGAGGCAAGGAGAGCCTCTCGCTCGCTACCAATGCACACGTCACACTCACACCATCGTCTCCTTGGCCGCCGCCGTGGCGTCGTCGTCCACCCACGTGGCGTGCCACAATGGCGACCGCCGGGGCAGCATCGACCCGACGCAGCTGGCGAAGCGTGGCGCGGAACTTGGCGCCCCGGGCGGAGCATGACGGGCAGCGGCATCCCGACCCCGCAGGCGGCGCCTGACGCCTCGTGGCGCTGCACGACGCGCGCGCGCGCAGCAGCAGAGGGAGAAGTACTCGGGAAGTCGACCATTTCGTCGGGCGCGGCGGGCCATGGCGCCAGCAGGTACTCCGCCTTGGGCCGCATGTTCCCGCCCACGCCAGAGGCGAAGAGCGCCGGAAGCGGCGCGCCATGGAGCCTTGGGGCTGGCCGGTAAGCCCAGCGACTCGAGGAACTCGATCGGGGCAGCAGCTTGTCCTCCACGGAGAAGGATAGCAGGTCGGCGCGGGCGGTGCAGGTCGGCACGCCAGCCAGCGCTGCAGGAAGTAGAGCGTGGGCCGGAGCCGCACCGCGATGGGGGACACGAGCAGGCGCGGGCGCCGCCGGAGCACGCGCGGGAGGTCGAACGCCGGGACGCCCGCCTCCTTCATTAGGAACCGGAGCGCGGTCTCGACGGCCTCCGCGGGCACGGGCAGCAGCTCCGGGCACATCCCCACCGCGCGCGGAAGGTCCGCGGGCGGCACGCTGGCCTCGAGAAGCACCGCCGCAGCGCCCATGGCCACAGACAACGACAGCAGCAACATGGGCTCTGGCGCCGGCGCCGGGGGCGGGGGGCTTGGGACCGTGAGTCTAGTGGTGGGCCTGGTCCGAACCCTCGCCAAAAGGTAACTCGGTAGTTATCCATGTGTTATTGCATTTAGTATTCATGTCTTGCATCGAAAAAATGATAAAAATAATTCTTGCATAATCATATAAATTGGATACATAACTTCTAAACTTTAGCATGCTTAAATTCTGCAATACATTTAAAAAAAACTTGTATGCATGGCATATATAAAAAGAAGATAAAAAGTTGTAACTCTGCATAATAATTTTAACTTAGTATCACTCTAAGTTTTGCATTAAGAAAATCTTAAAGCCCCATATGAGCAGCCTTGTGATGTGTAACAACCCATATGAATGTGCATTGTGGTGGCAATAAAATAAAATAAAAAATCATAAAACTTATAAAACAAAATAAGTCACAAGCCAGCTTAGGGGAGATACACCCCCATGAAGAGCTAGCTTGGGAGAGAAGCACTCCCGTGTATCCAGGTAAGTATTCTTTCCTCTTTTTATTTTAGTTTTAGTTTTCTTTTAAATAGTTAAAAAATAATGAATGAAAAACAAAATAAAAAATTTATCTTTGCATTTATAGTAATAATGTGTGATCTAATAAAATTGAAAAGAAAATAAAAGGTGTGTCTAGTTTGCTTTAATTTGTTTTTAAGAGCTGAATAAAATATAGAGGACTCAAAATAATCTTTTAAATTAAAATGATGAATAGTTGTTCTATTGTGATTTCTTTCAAGTACCTAGTTTTTAACCTTGAATTCTTCCGAGTTTTGGATAAGATTATTTTGATATAAGGATTTACTCTGAACTTGAAATTCGTGGGTAGCATATGCTTGATCTAAGTCTAGGTAATTGACAGATATGATATGAGAAGGTCTGAGCTGTTTATCTTGTTCCAAGTGACACTAAAGTTCTGGAGATTTACTTTTTGAAAAACACAAAAATGTTATATGATGAGTTCCTGTATGACAAAGCTTGAATTTCTATCAAAGCCATACATGTTATTTAGGCTAGAAAAATTCTACTTATATGCTGCTTGTAATCACATTAAGTTTTGTCAAGCTTTGTTGACTCTTATGAGAGGTTTGTCATGCCCTTAAAATCAAGATTACGTACACACCACCCAAATATGCACTACTCCTACACAGAGAGTAAGTGCAAAAATATGTTTTCCATCTAGATCCACAAAAAATGTTCTACTGTTACACTGGAGGTGAACATAGAAACACGCTTGTTAGGTTTTTCATCCATCAAATAAATGCTCTAGAGTTCTTGTAGATATCTCTCTCAAAGTTTTGTTGCAGAAAAGAGGCTTGGGGCTATGCAAAAGTTATTCATTAAAAAGAGAAAGAAAAAAAAAGAGTTGAGAAAAAATGGACACAAAAGTGTCTGAGATATTGAAAACAATGGG